AGGGGGGAGAAAGAGAAATTAGAAGGGGGAGAAAGAGAAATTGGAGCGGGAGGAGGGGGGGAGAAAGAGAAATTGGGAGGAGGAGAAGGAAATTGGAGCGGGAGGAGAGATTGGCATTCATCACATACACACAATGCACCCCTTGCACACAGAAAAACACACAATGCATTACACACACAGACACACATACACAAGCAATGCAACCGTTACACACAATGCATCCCTTACACACACAGAAACACACAATGCATTCATTACACACACTCAATACACCCCTTACACACATTCAATGCATCCCATACATACACAGAAACACACCTTGCAGTCCTTACACGCCACAAACACAGCCCAATTTCACACAATGCATTCACTTACATATCAGGACATCCCCTACACACTCCACCCCCTGTGAACAAACTCATTGGTGGAACATGAAGGTGGACCCTGGGACCCAGACCTTGAGCTGTGTAAAGGACCCCCAAAAAATGGAGCTGCTTCCAGTTCTCCCAGAACATTTTTGTGACCACAGTTACAAACCGCCTCCAGAGAGCCTGTTCTGCACCAGACCAGTGGAGCCAGACTGCAGCTAGAGCCCATCATCATCCTCATCTGGTTGTAAGTAGGCAATCTAGTATATTATTCGTGGCACTAAGCTCTAATTTACCTCACATTAAAGAAACACTATAGTCCCCAGAACCACTTCAGCTTAATGTAGTGGTTCTGGTGTCTATAGCCTGTCCCTGCAGGCCTTTTAATGTAAACACGGCGGCACTGCAGCATTGGCGTTAGTTAACATGGCAAATCATATGGTTGGGGCATTGTGATGTCACATGTGGGGCGGCAAACTTTACTTTTGCCTAGGGCGGCAAAAATCCTTGTACCGGCCCTGGCTGGAGGGGGCTGTGTGAGCTGTGGCCGCACAGTGTCCCATGGTAGTTAGGGTGCCGTGCGGCCAGTACAGCTCACTCAAGCAAACAGCTGATAAACTGGCCGCACGGAGGAAATGTGTATGTGTGACTGTCTGTCTGTAACTGAGTGTGTGACTGTCTGTCTGTAACTGAGTGTGTGACTGTCTGCCTGTAAATGTGTGTGTGGGGCTGCAGGGATTTTGTAGAAGGGGGTGGGGGTTTTGTATTGGGACAGGAGTCTTTATAAGGGGGGATAAGCAGGGGATTTGTGGAAGGGGGTTGCGGGGGTTTTGTAGATGGGGCAGTACAGGATTTGTAGAAGGGGCAGGACAGAGGTTTTGTAGGAGGGGCAGGGCAGGACAAGGGTTTTGTAGGAGGGGCTGACAGCGGTTTTGCAAAGTTTACAAATTGTAAAAAGAAAAGAAATAAAACCTTTAACATTTTTTACAGGTTTTTTTTTTTGGGGGGAGGGTTGAGGGGGTGCCAAGCACAGGATCCGCCCCGGGTGCCAAATGCTCTAGGTACGCCCCTGGGAGGAGGAACATTAAGGGGAATGAGGGGGCACTAAGATGGGTAAGGGGGGTGGGAAGGGGAACACTAATGGACATGGAGGGGAGGGGGGAGAAACACTAAGGGACATCGGACCATTGCCATTTGCATGGAAAATTTTTAATTTATTTGTCTGACTGCAGCCACACTGCCACTGTGCCACTGCCACATGAGCCCTCACTCCTCACCAAGTGGATCCCAAGACCTGGCCTGCCTAAGAACAGTTAGTGCCAAACAGGAGGTGAGTGAGCAGAAAGAGTTTGATCATGTAATTATTTAATGGAGTATGTGTTATGTAAAGTGATGTGCCATCTGGCCCTCTTTATGCCACGTTTGGACTTTAC